AGAATTCAATAAATTCAACCATCTCATCACTGAGCTTACGATATCTAGCAAGGTTGGTTGCAGGTGAAGGCACCATCAGATGATTATACGTATTCATGATAGTAGTAAAAATGATCATCGATGTACTCTTAGAAAGGTTTGTATTAACTCTCTATTCACAATCTGATGTCTTGAACTTACGATTTCTTTGATTTTTTGGATTCAACACTTTTTTCGGCTGATACTTACCAGCACAATTGCACTCTCAACTAACTTTACATAAGATTTGAGTATCATTTTCTGTTTGTGTTTCTATACGTTTTTTGCGGATACTAAAACCCTTTTCTAATCCATAATCCTTTAGAAAATTTTCAACATCATCCCAGGTATGAAAAGATTGTCCTAAAGTATTTTTTTTTTTTAAAAAAAAGGTCAAAATCCATCAGCCAAAGTCTATATTTAAGATTTCAACATCGCCTAAATACAGTCGTCCCCCATTAATATCAACCCCAAAAATGAATTTCTATATGTTAAATGATATTAAAACTCCCTCCTATATATCAACTTTGATATGTTCCCTCATTAATATTACTATCAACATGAATATAAAAGTGATCCAAATAGGTTGATATTAATGAGAGATGACTGTATATGGGTTTTTTTTTTATCTAAAGTTATTTGAAGCGGAGGAGCAGGAAGGTTTGAATCTTCGTCTGAAGAGTCCATATCAAATATAAGCCTATGACTTGTGTCATCTTGATAGTTTTCAACTTCTACTTCATTTAGTGATAGTGATTCGTTTAACACTTCATTTATTACTTCGTAACGTGCATCTTGATAGTTTTCAGCTACTGCTTCATTCAACTTTTCATTTATTACTTTGTCATGTGCAGCATCAATAAACTCACTATCGAATAATTCCATGACTAAAAATATATAAGAATCATAAGTCAACGCGAAAATAATTAATGCCGCATAATAATTAAAGGCACTTGCTTTTATTTTGTTCACTTTAACACTGGCGCCAACCGTTTATTTGTTTGTTGCAAATGAAAAAAAGATCGATCGCGTACTTGATTGAACCCCTATTTATTTGTATAAATTAAATCTCTGATTACCTTATGTCTGTCAAAATTAACTCGTATCCGTCATAGAGCATGTGTAACCATACATGTGAATAGGGGTGAATAGGGATGATCATTATTGTGTAACTGGTAATTTCGCCCCGGTTAAATGAAGTTATTCTCATATATATATATTTAATTTAAATTATTTTTAAATAAATTTATTTCAATTTTACTATAAAGTTTTAATATTATATAGGTTAATATTTAAGTATTAAATTATATTTCTAGTAATTTTTAAGACTGGGACAAATTCTTCTGTAGATTTCATTAAAGCAGCCACCGCTTCTGAGATAACGATGTCCTCAACTTCTATTGGGCTTTTCTCAGAAGAGAATGATGTAAGTGGACAGGTGGTTAAGTCCATTTACACAGAGGACCAAGTTAATGATGGTCAGACCAAACGTATATAGCAGACTATAGAACCCTTCGCAGCTGTGAGAACTGAGCTTAAAACAGCGAACGTTACTACAGAAGGATATTTATCCAAATCATTACCAACATCATCCAACTCCTATGATTTGGAAATATGCTATAACAAATTTCTTACTTGTTATCAACTTCCTTTATTAGACGAACCACAAACTATTAATTCTTTTTTACAATATTTACAACAAAACAATGTTGACTATTTAGCAAATTATGCTTTTATTACAGTTCACAGTAATAAAAGTGAAGCATATATGTATTTACCATATGAACACAATATACTACCAAATCACTATACTTTATCCACTAATGATTCGCATGATATTCCTCTTAAATCACAATCTAATACACATATTTTTACATCTTCCTATCCTCTATCAGCATCAAGCTCTTCTCTTACTTCTTTCTCTTGCTCTAATGCTCCTTATA